CGCCAAACAATGGAGCACCCAAATTTATCAAAGAAACACTACTTTCCATCAAATCCCATATAGATCCAGAGACATTAATCGTTGGGGATTTTAACACACCACTCTCCCCACTAGATAGATCAACTCGGCAAAAACTCAACAGAGAAACCGCAGATCTAAACAGCTGCATAGATCAACTAGACTTAACAGACATTTACCGAACATTTCACCCAGCAGCCTCAGAATACACGTTTTTCTCAGCAGCACATGGAACGTTTTCTAAAATAGACCACATTTTAGGCCACAAAGCAAACTTGTCTAAATTCAGAAACATTGAAGTTATACCTTGCATTCTCTCTGACCACAAGGGAATAAAGTTAGAACTCAACATCAAAAGCCACCAAAGAAAGTCCGGTATCACATGGAGGCTGAACAACACACTGCTGAATCATGAGTGGGTCATGGAAGAGATTAGAAAGGAAATTCAAATGTTCATGCTATTCAACAAAAATGAACACACAAAATACCAGCTCCTCTGGGACACAGCAAAGGCAGTACTCAGAGGCAAGTTTATAGCTCTGAGCTCCTACATCAACAAATTGGAGAGATCTGAAACTAACAATTTAATGACACATCTAAACCTCCTTGAAAAAGAGCAGCAAGATAAACCCCAATCCAGTAGACGGAAAGAAATAATCAAAATTAAATCAGAATTAAATGAATTAGAATCCAAAAAAACTATAGAAAGAATCAACAAAACAAAGAGTTGGTTCTTCGAAAAACTTAACAAAATTGACAGACCCTTAGCAAATCTTATCAGAAAAAGAAGAGAACACACCCAAATTAATAAACTCAGAGATGAGAATGGAAACATCACCACGGAAACAACCAAGATTCAGAACATTATAAGGGAATACTTCTCAAAACTTTATGCTAATAAGTTTGAGAACTTGACAGAAATGGACCTCTTCCTAGCAAATATTGACATGCCAAAACTAAACCAAGATGAGGTAAACTATCTTAACAGGCCCATATCAAGCACTGAAATAGAAACAGCAATAAGAGACCTCCCAGCTAAGAAAAGTCCAGGACCAGATGGTTTTACAGCGGAATTTTACAAGGCCTTCAAAGCAGAGCTCACACCAATTCTCCTCCAACTCTTCAATGAAATTGAAAGAGAAAGCTCACTACCGAACACATTCTATGAAGCCATCATAACCCTCATCCCAAAACCAGGCAGGGACTCATCAAAGAAAGAGAACTATAGACCCATTTCTTTGATGAATATTGATGCGAAACTTCTCAACAAAATTTTGGCCAATCGACTTCAACAATTCATCCAAAAAATCATACACCACGATCAAACAGGATTCATTTCAGGGATGCAAAGCTGGTTCAATATACGCAAATCAATTAATATTATTCATCACATCAACAGGAGCAAGAATAAGAACCACATGGTTATCTCAATAGACGCAGAAAAAGCATTCGACAAGATCCAACACCCCTTTATGATGAAGGTTTTGGAAAAATTAGGAATCCATGGAACATTCCTCAATACAATAAAGGCTGTATATGACAAACCTACAGCCAGCATTATACTCAATGGTGAAAAACTAAAGCCATTTCCTCTTAACTCAGGAACAAGACAAGGATGCCCACTCTCTCCACTTCTCTTCAATCTAGTATTAGAATGCCTAGCTACAGCAATAAGACAAGATGCAGACATAAAGGGGATCCAAATAGGGAAAGAAGAAATAAAACTCTCCCTCTTTGCAGATGACATGATCTTGTATTTAAAGAATCCCATAGACTCCACTCCCAAATTACTCAAGCTGATTCAAAACTTTGGCAAAGTAGCAGGTTATAAAATTAACCCCCAAAAATCAACGGCTTTTCTGTATGCCAACAATGAGAAAAGTGTGGCTGAAATTAGGAAAGCAACTCCATTTGTAATAGCCCCACAAAAAATAAAATACCTAGGAATTAACTTAACTAAAGAAGTGAAGGACCTCTATGATGAAAACTTTAAAATCTTGAAAAAGGAAATCAACACAGAACTTAAAAAATGGCAAAACCTCCCATGCTCCTGGATTGGAAAGATTAACATCGTGAAAATGGCAATACTTCCCAAGGCTATCTACAAATTCAACGCAATACCTATCAAAATTCCACCCTCATTCTTCAAGGAAATAGAAGAGGCAATCCAAAAATTCATATGGAACAATAAAAGACCCCGAATAGCAAAAACGCTCCTCAACGGAAAGAACACTGCTGGAGGAATATCAATACCAAATTTCAAACTCTACTATAAAGCCATAGTAATCAAAACAGCTTGGTATTGGCATAAGAACAGACCTCAGGACCAATGGAATAGAATTGAAAACCCAGAAATGAACCTACAGACCTATAGCCATCTAATCTTCGATAAGGGAGCTAAAACAATAGAATGGAAGACAGACAGCCTCTTCAGTAAATGGTGCTGGCAAAACTGGTTAACTACATGTAGAAAACTAAAGCTAGATCCTTATATATCACCCTGCACCAGAATCAACTCCAAATGGATCAAAGACCTTGAACTCAAAGCAGACACTCTGAAAACATTACAGGATGGAATAGGAGAAACCCTGCGTCTCCTTGGCTCAGGCCGAAATTTTCTGAATAGAGACCCGGAAACACAACAAATCAAAGAAAGGCTGGACAAATGGGATTGTATAAGGTTGCAGAGCTTCTGCAGGGCAAATGACATAGCTAGCAAGATCAATAGAAAGCCCACGGACTGGGAGAAGATCTTTACTAGCCATACAACGGACAAGGGTCTCATATCTAAAATATACTTGGAACTCAAAAAATTAAACCACCCAACAACAAATCCTCAAAGAAACAACTGCCCAATAAGTAAGTGGGCGAAAGACTTAAAGAGAAGCTTCTCTGAAGAAGAAAGAAGGATGGCCAATAGACACATGAAGAAATGTTCAACATCCCTAGCCATAAAAGAAATGCAAATCAAAACAACATTGAGATATCACCTCACTCCAGTTAGAACAGCAAAAATCAAGAACTCTAACAACAACAGATGCTGGAGGGGATGTGGACAGAAAGGAACCTTACTTCATTGTTGGTGGGAATGTAAACTTGTTCAACCACTTTGGAAAGCAGTATGGAGGTTCCTCAAAAGACTCCACATAGAGCTCCCCAACGACCCAGCAATCCCACTTTTGGGCATTTACCCAAATGATCACAAACAAGGCCACACTAAAGCTACCAGCACAACTATGTTTATTGCAGCATTATTTACCATAGCTAAGACATGGAACCAACCCAGATGCCCCTCAGTAGATGAATGGATCAAGAAGATGTGGTATATATACACAATGGAATTCTATGCCTCCATCAGAAAGAATGACATTTCCCCATTTGTTAGGAAATGGAAAGGCTTGGAAAAAATTATATTAAGTGAAGTAAGCCAGGCCCAAAGAAACATAGGTCCCATGGTTTCCCTTATTTGCAATATCTAGTATAGGTATGAGTCAAGCGGAAAAAGTCAGATAATGTGATGTTAGGAAAACAAAACCTCAAATATGTATTTTAATGTTTTTGTTTCTTTCATGCATGTGTTTCTAACGCATTTATAAGATTATTTCCTTGTTGCTTTGTATGTCCCTCCCCCACAGTGTAACCCCCGCTTTCACTATATTTGATGTCAGTATAACATGTGGAGGAGATGGGGACAAACAAGTCGTTTAAGGATTCAGGTGGACCTGTTGCAACAATGAGAAGTACAAAATGTCATGTCAAAACCAGCTTTACAATGTCGGTGGCGGGGGAGGGGGGGTACGATTGGTTGGGAGGGAGGGGGGAGGCCGGGAAGGGAGGTGAAGGGTAAACAAAGGAGGAGGCTGCAATGCTTGGTAAGAAATGTATGCATTATCCTGTCCATGTAATTGTAACCCCTCTGTACAGTATGTTCTCAAATAAAATAAAATAAAATTAAAAAAAAAAAAAAAAAAAAAGAAATTTAGGCATGTGTGTGTGTGTGTGTGTGTGTGTGTGTGTGTGTGTGTGTGTGTACTGATACTGCCTAGAACTCATGGGCAGTTCCCATGGCTTTTTTTTGCTGATGTTCTACCACTTGAGCCATTCTTCCACTTCCAGTTTTGGTGGTTAATTGTAGATAAGAGTTTCAGGGACTTTCTTGTCCAAGATAGCTTTAATTTCAATATTCAGATCTCAGACTACAGAGTAGATAAGATTATAAGTGTGAACTCCTGACAACCTACAGGTTGAGCATGTCTATTTCCTCTAAAATGTGTCAGTTCTTTTCAGGAGAAAGACTGCTTTTCCTATGCACTTATATGTACACCTGTTACCTCCAGTGTTATGTGGAAGTACAAACAAGAGGATCACAGCCTTGGTTGTCCTGGGCAGAAACCATACTTTGAAACTAACAATAAATGGAGCTGGAGGCATGGCTCAAATTGTGTAACATATGCCTAGTGAACCCCAAGTTTTATCTTTAGTATTACCAAAAAAAATCATAGTTTCAAATGGTTAGTTGCTGAGAGTATTAGAATTAGTGGCATTTTTAGTATGATTTTTGCTAATATTTTTATTCTGAAACTTGCAAGATTCATGAAATTCTGATAATTTATTAACTATTATTTTTTCATATCAGCTTATAGAAAAGAAATGATCCATATCTATGTAGCTTCAGGGCCTCCATGTGCTTGCTGTATGAAGGAGGAGGTCCAGTACAGTGTTCTGCTTATTATTACTGATTATTACTCTTTTCTTATGGAGTAAACATCAAAAGTTTCTTTTCCTTGAGGAGCCCTGTCTATCAAACTAGTAATGCATACTAAACTCTTCCCTATTAAGTATTTGTTATGCATTATCTATCTTTTACCATGTCTAATTAGAGATGTGAATATCACCTTTTTTTAGCTTTTACATCAACTTTATTTTCAGAGCCATTTTGCATGAGTTAACAAAATCCCATCATTGCCAAATATTGCAGGAATCATATTACTTCTTATTGTACCAAAAGTCATACTCAATAATGAGATCTGAGTTGCAAAAGAGGATTTACTATTTGCATCTGTCTGTAAGGCTTTGTTCATATTAAACAAACGCACACACAGAAGAGCTAAATGAAGGTCACTTTTCAAGGCTACTTTACACTCTGAGATAGTTAATGCCTCACAAAATGATATAATAATTAGAACATTGTCTGAACAAACACACAGATATAAAAACTACCTAGTTCAAGCTCTATTAGGATAACCAACAGCATTAAGGAAAATATATTTATTTGGAGATTACGTTCTCATGCCATCAATCTCCATACTTTAAAATTTATAGGTGATCCTTCTAAACAATAAAATTCTTGGTGAGTATTTACTCATTCTTTTTTTTTTTTTTTTTTTGGGTCTAGTCGTGGGGCCTGAACTCTGGGCTTGAGCGCTGTCCCTCAGCTCTTCAGCTCAAGGCTAGCGCTCTACCACTTGAGCCACAGCGCCACTTCCGGCTTTTTTCTTTTTGCTTATGTGGTGCTGAGGAATTGAACCCAGGGCCTCAGGCATGCAAGGCAAGCGCTCTACCACTGAGCCAACTTCCCAGCCCATCATTCTATCCCCAATTCATATAATGAAGTCCCAATTGCCAATGTGACAGTAGTTGGAACTAGGACTTTAGAGAGTTGATTGATCAATTTTAGGTGAAGTCACATGGCAGGATAACCATAGTGGGATTAGTATTTTGTGTGTGAGTGTGTGTGTGTGTGTTTTGCTGGTATGTGGCTAGGTGAGGGGACTCAGGACCGCATGCTTGCTTTCTCATGTTTGATGCTGGCTGTACCACTTGATTCATACCTCCAGTTCAGTTTTTTGTTAGTTAATTGGAGATAGAGTCTGGAGAACTTTTCTGCCTGGGCTAGCTTTGAACTGTGATCCTCCAGGCCTCAGTTTCCTATGTAGTTGTGATTTCTGGTATGAGCCACTGGTGCCCTGTACGGATTAATGTCCTTTTAAAAGGTAAGGAGAGCATAGCTAGGTCTCTTTTTGCCATATGAAGACACAGTAATGAGCTGCCTCTTAAAGCCAGGAAAAGAGCCCTCATGAGGGACTGAATTGGCTATACCTTGATTAAGAACTCCCCAGACTACATAGCTGTTGTTTAAGTCATTTATTTTATGATATTTTGATGAGGAAATTCAAGCTGACTAATGCATATTGGATAAGAAGTTCTATAAAAATTCATTTTATTCTCAAGACAATTGAAGTCACAGAGGCATAATAGCTTATCCCAGTTGTCATAAAGTTCTAGAATTGCTAAATATGTTATAGACAATAAAGGGAAAATGTAGCAGTTATGCTACACCTGAAAGTATTGTCCCAGGGACATGTCAATAATGGTTGGTGGTAGATAATGGTGGTGATGATATAACAATGATGATCAAGGTGGCCCTAATTTTCTGTATCTGTCAGCATGATGAAATTTTATTTTATTAATTTATTTTTTATTGTGAAAATACTGTACAGAGGGGTTACAATTACATGGGCAAGGTAATGAGTACATTTCTTACCAAGCATTGGTGATGAAATTTTAAATAAAGTTTTTTTTTTGCTTTTTTCCCCCCAATATAACAGCACAAAAACTTATTTAAACAATGTTGTATGAGACATAGCTACATTTAGAAATGAAGAACCAAAGGCCCAGTCAAACGATACTTTTGGAAAAAGTGGTGCAGAGAAAAAGTATAACTGGAGAAGAAAAGAGTGTGATCTGGAGGAGGGAAGGAAGATGGTGGAAAGAGAACAGGAAAACAACCTTCTCTCTGAAGAAGGAGAATTTTAGGGTCTCATCAGGAACTCCATATCTAGAGAGTCACACCAAGTGAGCCATAATTATACAGAGATATAAACCAATGCAGATTATAAACTGATTGCAAAAGAAGAGGAGCCCAGGGATAATGGTTAGGCCCTGAGTTCAAGACCCCCAACAGAGAGAACAGAAAACAAAAACCAAAACCAAGAAACAAAATACCACACAGCTCTTAAAAGCTGAGTTTGTTTCCAGGCTGTGCTGAGTAGGAGCTCAGAGACTAGCCGCCCCTACATATCAGTATGTTAAAGATTCCAGTTAAACTGCAGTCCCACCTACACCCAACCTCTCTGCAGAATCTAGACTGAGTTAAAAGCTATCTCCTACCTGTTTTAGTTCACACAGCCATCCTTCCTCCCCATGTTGCCTAATTTAGACTGTGAGGAGAACTACAGAGACTCCAATTTTCTAAGGTAGAATGTTTTTCTGCCCACTCAAACTGACTAGAGAATTCATCTTTTCTCTTTGATTTATAAGAAAGTAGAGACAGACCTAAAAAAATTTAGCTATTTGCAATTGTACTGAGAGTGGTAATCTAGATAATATATACACACCCATATAAAAAGGTTTCAGAATCCAACAATGTCCCAACTCCATGCACTTAAGCAATGTGGATCTCAACCTACAAACATCAGTGATGCCTCTTACCTGTGAAATAAGGAAATCCTCCCCCTCCACGGCCTCCCTGCTTCCCCCTCCCATGATGTTACCCAGATATATTAGCTGCAGGGATAGTGAAGATCACAACAAACAAAACAAAGACTCCACTAAGAGATTGCATATCACACATTGGGAAACACCAGATTGCCCCCCACCCCCCGCCCCACCCAATTGGAGAACTCTTTTTTTTTGTCCTTCCTTGGTATTCTTTTGTTATTTTTCTGCTTTTTGTTAGTTTTGTTTTTATTTTTTGTTCATTGTCATTTTGTTTAGTCCTAGATATACAGACTATGGTGATTGCTAAGCCTGTTTCTAAGTTTTGTGCATACTTAATTCTGAGTATATTTTTGATTGATCAATTTTACATTTTTCTATTTTTATTTTTGTTTTTTGCCTTCTCCTTTCCTTTATTCTTTTATTCTTTTTTCTCCTTCCATTATTTTATTTGTATTTCTTTTATTTCTATCTGTTTCCTTCATTTCTGATCCTTCTCTTTTTCTTTCTTTTCCTTTGTTCTCATTGTGTGTTAGATTGACTGTATTTCTTTCCCTTTTGACTCTGTCTAATTGGCTCATCCTGTTATCTTTTAGGTTTTATTTGATTTATACTGACTCTAATAAGAGATTTCTTCATTGGCTATAAAAATATATAATCTCCTTTTCTTCACCACAATACCCCCCCCCCCCCCCAACAAAAGTGAAGGTGTATTTAGATAGGGAAATATCTATTTATTTATTTATTTTTTTTTTTAATTTAATTTTATTTTATTTGAGAACATACTGTACAGAGGGGTTACAATTACATGGGCAGGATAATGCATACATTTCTTACCAAGCATTGCAGCCTCCTCCTTTGTTTACCCTTCACCTCCCTTCCCAGCCTCCCCCCTCCCTCCCACCCAATCATACCACCCCTTCCCCCCCCCCCCCCCCTGACATTGTAAAGCTGGTTTTGACATGACATTTTGTACTTCTCATTGTTGCAACAGGTCCACCTGAATCCTTAAACGACTTGTTTGTCCCCATCTCCTCCACATGTTATACTGACATCAAATATAGTGAAAGCGGGGGTTACACTGTGGGGGAGGGACATACAAAGCAACAAAGAGATAATATTATAAATGCGTTAGAAACACATGCATGAAAGAAACAAAAACATTAAAATACATATTTGAGGTTTCGTTTTCCTAACATCACATTATTTGACTTTTTCCGCTTGACTCATACCTATACTAGATATTGCAAATAAGGGAAACCATGGGACCTATGTTTCTTTGGGCCTGGCTTACTTCACTTAATATAATTTTTTCCAAGCCTTTCCATTTCCTAACAAATGGGGAAATGTCATTCTTTCTGATGGAGGCATAGAATTCCATTGTGTATATATACCACATCTTCTTGATCCATTCATCTACTGAGGGGCATCTGGGTTGGTTCCATGTCTTAGCTATGGTAAATAATGCTGCAATAAACATAGTTGTGCTGGTAGCTTTAGTGTGGCCTTGTTTGTGATCATTTGGGTAAATGCCCAAAAGTGGGATTGCTGGGTCATTGGGGAGCTCTATGTGGAGTCTTTTGAGGAACCTCCATACTGCGGAAATATCTATTTATGATGTAAAGTTTTGATTTAAAGTCTATGCAATTGTAGGGTTCTTTGTTGGTTTTTGACTTTACATTATATCCTGTTGTGGTTTCAGATATGAGTGCTTTTGTTTACAAATAGGCAGAACAAACCATAGAAACAAAAGAAAAATGGCAATTCAAGGAACCACAACTCCCACAAAATATAACCAGGCAAGAGAGCAGATAAATGAAGGACCTAGAAGATAGTTCTCAAAATTCTTTAAAAAAACACTACTGATAAATATGTTTAATAAAATATAGAAAATCTGTACATGGCTATATATGAGCATGGTGAAGCTAAGCAGATTATTAAAGGAATTCATGAAATCCACAAAACAGAAAGATGAATGAATTCCAAGGAAAGGAAAGGGAGTCCAATGACCAAAAATAGGCACTCAGCTAAAGGATATAAGAGAAGACACTAAAAATCAAATCAAGGAAGTAAATAAATCCATAGAAGATTAAACACAAAGTTTCAATACAGAGACTGAAGCCATCACAAAAGAACAATTAAAAGGCAGGAAAAAAGTAGATAGACTTAACAAAAGATTAGAAGAAAAAGAAATTGGAGACTTGGGGGATAAAAGATATTCTATATTTTATATAGAGAGCACAGATAATTATTAAGAATAAATCCAAACAACAAGAAAGGTCCTTAGACCTAATATAACGCTAACAGGTATTGAGGAAAGACAAAAGAAGGAAGGCACAGCCTCTAAGAAGGTAGATAGCATGGCAAGAACAATCAAACACCTCTCAATCCTAACTCTCAATATAAATAGACTTAATTCTCTAATTAAATGACATAAATTGACTAGTTCAATCAAAAATCGAGATCCATCTACCTTCTGTCTTCAAGAGACACACCTTGACTGCAAAAACAAACAGATTCTGGAAGTAAAAGGCTGGAATAAAATCTATCAAGCAAATGGCCAACATAAGCAGGCTGGAGTTGCAATCCTAATATCAGATAAAATTTACT